TGGATTTAAACATTGCTAAATAAATGAAAGCGTACATATAAACATGTTGCAAGCAATAAACTAAACCAGAGATGTAAATATAAGGGAACACACGAATTTACGTGGTTCGGTCAACTGACCTACGTCCACGGGAAACGAATGCAATATTTTATTGAAATAGTAGTTGAAATTTTGAAACATATCAACAAGGACTCCTTTGTTGTACACATAAACACAACTTACATCATATAAACAATATATAACATGCAAGTTCTCATTACTTCTCTTCCTTAGTGCAGCCACAATCTTCTCACATCCAACTACAATAACAATCAACAACCGAAAAAGAACAGAAATCCGGAGCATATGAGTATTTCTTGCGGTGGAAGGCATGCATTGCAAGCAAGCAATCCGAAATTAGTTGAAAAAATAACAGTGTATAGAAAAAATTGTGCTCCTAAACTATGAATGCTTCCCTTAAGCCATGACATATAATTTAAGTTATTCTAATTATCGATACCATCAAAGTAAACATAAAAGCTATAGCACTCAAGTAGAGCCAACATATTTTCCACTGCACAAAAATCGTATAGAAGTAAAACAGTACACCATTGTGTCGCTATTAAACAAAACACAGGCAATAGCTTAGGATTTTAAATGTTCATCTGCATAAAATAGATTAAAATGGGAAGAGAAGAACCCTCACTACTAATTCAGAAGGATTAAGGTAAGAGGAGTGACAAATTCAAATTTTTCTGTCCTTCATATTGCATTATCAAAATAATCAGAGAGGGCAACTCTTAACCCGCTCAAGGTAACAAGTGAACCCATGGAAGGTAACAATCATGCATACATACCATTCAATTCCTATATATTTACATATCTATTCTCCAAACTTCAATTTTTACATAAACACTACCTTTTCTATGCATGACAATGTGTATCCAGCTTCTTTTAGAAGTAAAAAAAAAATGGTTGCCAGATATGTAAGTTAAAGTTCAGTTGCTAGATATGTAAATATCAGAGAATTGCGTGACATGCACCCAATAAGGCTCAAAGTGGAAATGAAGAGGTGAATAATTTTATCTTCAAAGGAAAGCAATCTGACTTATATTTTAACCACCCACAAAACAATCCAATAATATGGAGACAGCCATCGAAATAATCTGAAGTTAATTTTGAGCCAGAAAATAGGAAAACCCAACAACCAGGCAAGATACCAAGCAATCAGGACAGGAAACCAAGTAACCAACCCTTATAGTGGCTAGCTCGAAAAAACAGCAAGAACATATCAATTTTAAAGTGCAATAGCTAAAACTTTAGCTCATAAATCCCTTCTTGAGTGAGTCATCAACCTTTCTTTTAAAATACAAAGTAAATACTGATATTTTCAATAGCAATATGTTATTACACCATTTCCTGTGTGCTTCAACAGATTAGTAACCAACAAGCTCGAAAAAACAGTAAGCACTAGAATGCTGGAAAAAATACCACATCACAAAGAGCAGATCACTCTCCAAAAATGCAGATGCACTCTCCAAAAACATCAAAGCAGATCCAGCCACCCAAACCGAAACAGGGGATTTCTAAAATTTAATTATGCTCACTGTCAAAGTAAAGATTGGGGAAG